CACAGGTATTGATCGAAGGCAAAATAGAAGAATTAAAAATGGTATGAAAGAACGCGTAGAACGGTTATCTGAAAAGAGAAGAGAATTAAGAAGAATAATTACAGACTTAATGGAACGAGATGATGTTAGCGCATGTTTACCTGGAAGAAAGGATAGCAAAAATGTAGGAAAAAGTACAGAAACAAGAGAGGGTTTTGAACGATTATCTGTATAATCTGCACCTAAAATTCAAGACTGAGAATGATTCATCGGAGGTTAGTTTGACTACATTTAGTCGTAAACTTACGCCCACAAAACGTGCAACTCCTGCAATTTTGTAACAGGAAAACATGTCTCTGTCAGCGACACCAAAATATGGCTCTGAAATGTAAAGCTCTAAGAGACATAAAAGTTATTTCTACAGACAGTCCTGACGTCTTAACAGAAAAAAATGAATGATTTAGATATCTTGAAAAGAAATATACTTAACAACGCAATTACATTTCCTGAATGGCAACGGTATAACAGTGGTAAAAAAAGAGAAGAGAGTTCAAGAGAATGCAGATAGTAAATGTTGAATAAGGGCGACTTTTATACAGAGAATGCAGAAAGATCTGGCATATTTTAGACAGCACATCATAAGAGGAAAGGCCCAGTATGAACAATCTAGATTACTTAAAGAAGATCTCCCCGGTGACCATGCCATATGTCATATGGATTTCGCAAAAATTATTCATGTTCTTTTGCCAATGAAATCCAGACAGCATACTTTGATAAAAGTACCGTAACCTTACATCCTGTATTTTGTATTTTAGAGATAATGAGACGGGTGAAATTAAGCATATATCTAATGTGATTGTTTGAGACTGCAACTACAGTATATGCAATAATGATTGAAGAAGGTTTTGAATGTGGAGAAAGAGATATTGCCGTCCTGCAAGATGATACATTACATGGACCGACTCTCCAACGTCACAATATCGGAATCGCTAGATATTTTCGATAGTTGCAAATCATGATAAGAGCTTCTCATGTATTCAGGCAGCATGATTGTATTTTGAAGCGGGACATGGGAAATGCCCTGTGTTGGAGTTGGGGGGCACAGCTAAGCGCCTATTCGACATGGCTGTTCGTCGTCATAAGGCCGTGATCCAGAACGGAGAAGACTTTTTCAAATGGGGGAATGGTCAAGAAAGTTCCAATTTGAAATATATATTTGTTGATAAAAGTGAGTGCGATGAAGCGAAATAAGAAATATCTGATATGACAGTGAAACCCATTAAAAGGTACTCTTCAAATTCATGCAGTTTGTACCTCTGGTGACGGCAAAATAGCAGCAAGAGAAACCTCATTTTCATTTTATGATTGAAGGTAAGAATTCATTCAAATGGCCATCAACTGCTGATTCTGTTTGGATCCAAGGGGAGGAAATTCTGTGTTCCGTCCGTGATCCTGTAAAAACTGGGAAAACAAGAAACATATACAAGTTTGATGAGGAAGATATTGGTTGTGTCGTGGGTTTCTTTAAATAGATTTGTTTATAAAGAGAACACTTGAACATCCATTTGCAATGATTATGTTTATAAGAGCTATCATTGATTTAAAACCCTTTTCAAGAAAGTATATTCTAAATAATCTTGTTTTAAAGGGAACACTTGAACATTCATTTGCAATGTTTATAAGAGATATCATTCATTTAAACCATATTCAATAGAGCAAAGACAATTTTAACTTGTGAGTACAATGTTTCGTTCTCAATTGTGTTTCATTGTTTAATTAGATGTTTGTGAATTACGTTACATAATGAAAATTATTTCGTGCGATCAATGCAGAAAACTGTTTAAGCAATGGTACATTACTATAATTTCTTAAGTATTTACAAATGACTTATGATAAAGATGAAAGCCAAATAATACAAAAACAAAATTTTTATTTATCATACTGTAGTATATCAAGACTTTAGTGAATTTATTTCTCATTTATGATGTAAAAATGACTTTGTTTTATAATCAACTGTACCATTTATAAGTTGAGCTTCTTATGAAAAGTAGAATGTTGTTTTAATATAGATCACATGAAATAAATTTGTGTTTTATTATCTTTTTTCTTCTCCATTATACTTTACTCTTATAATGTATATAACGTGAATTACGTTACATTTAATGTTGTGTTTTATGAATGAAATAAAATCGATAATAATTTTATTATCACAACTTTAAGTAAAACATAACTTTATGTCTGCAATTTGATAAATGTGAATTTTATATCTAAATGAATCAACGATATGAACAGATATTGCCTGATTAAATAAGTTTTCATTTATAACATGCATATCTATATAAGGTCAAGAACATGAAAATGCGCGAGTTACTTGTATGATTTAGAGCATATGAATGTTATCGTATGGTGAAACGTATTGACATTGCAATTGCTTTATCGATAGCTGATATTCAATTAAAATGTCGGATTCAAATGGCACATGCTAGTTTTGTTTATGAACATGTAACGTAATTCACCTCCCGAAATGGTCGCTTATGAAATCTATAGTATATTTATGCATATATAACATTTGTCGCGATGTTTTTTCCTTGGTTTTTGGTTTATATAGCATCATGTTAATATTTAATCAACTTTAGTAGCGAAAATGAAACAAAATATTAGCGGTGCCATGCCAATTCGCAAACTTTTTTTTCTCTCTCATATGGAACAGAATTAGTACATTTATTCAATCTACAATGAAAACCTACCTTTTAATTGCTGAATAACATGATGCTTAATGATTATACTGAATGCACTATCATGCAATTGCAACTTCATGTGTACTTTCCTGAACAATCTGACATACTGACATATTTTAATATGCTGTTTGTTTAATTAATCTTTCTTAAATGACAGCGTAAAATTATGTTCTTCGTTTTAAAGAACCTTCTTTACTTGTTATTGATATATATAACTAGATGCAAAATGGTTAGGTCCCGAAAATACACTTTGCTAAAAATCAGCCACTTACATTGTCTACACTATTTCACCAGGAATAATTGATTTTGATCATATTCTTCAATTTATTTCAGGAATAGTTTATTCAAAACTGTGATTTTATCGCCCAATAAAATCACTGTTTGGAGTTCATATGCGAGGAATTATATCACGAGGGCGTAACCCGAGTGATATAGATTATGATGCGCATCCGACCGACAAACAGTTTTTTATCAAGACAGTAGTTTTATCAAGCGATAAAATCACCGATTTGGATATATTATTTCGATTCTTACACGACATTAACAAATGAATGCTGCCTATACCTGATTATTAAGCTGAATTGCGTCTGATTTGTTTTCGTACTTATTTCAGCGCGTCACATTTTAGTGGTTACGTCACGTGTATAATGATTACGTGACATGTCTAAATATAGAACGTCAACAGTGATTTTATTGCATAATAACATACACTTTCGGTCCTTCTATGTTCAATAGGGGAAAATGCGGGTCGTGTAAGAATTGATTTTAGCGCTCAATAACATCACTGTTTGGAGTTCGGATGCGACGAATTATATCACAAGGGCGTAGAATCGGAATAATATATCCAAATCATTAGTACAAGTCTACAAATATTGTTATGCGAATGATCCGCTTCAAAATACGACTTTACTTAACCGGAAAAGATAACATCGAGGTGGATTAGTCGGTAAAAAGAAAAAAAATCGTAAAATATCATTTACATTTAACACAACGAATAGTGGCTCGTTTGGATTATAATCCTTTAAACTGTATAAAATAGATTAATGTGTTGTGAATAGCGATTTCGGAAAATAGTAGCATTAAACATTTATAATAGCTACAATATAGTAATATTTAAACTTGTCCTCTACAAGAAGTATTATTCTTAGGATTTTATATTTGGCCAACATTTTTTGAAATGGTAATCCTTTTTTACTCATTTTGTTGCATTCACAGTCTATGTCATTGGTACAGCTCAGTTATTTTTAGATATGATCATTCCTCACTTCAAATTAGGTAAACTCGCGTACGTAGCTAGTAAAGATCGCGTAGAGGCATGCTTGTTCAAAATATGGCAAAGTCGCCCTACAAGAGGTCGCGCTTTTTAAGTTTTTATTTTTAAGAGAAATCTGTATATAAACACTGAAAATGTCATTTAAAACTCGGTCCTTGAATAACAAATGAAAACATGATAATAAAATCAATTAAACTAAATAATAATCAATCTATACTGTTAAAAGGATTATACTGTAACATAAGCCTGAAATATTACTTCTTATTTATGTATCTATTTTTTTGAAAGTCATAATTAACTGAAGATGATTGTTAAAATTAAAAGTGACTGTTTGACAAACAATTGAAACACTACCCAGAGCATTATTTAGTCTAGTGCACTAGAAGTACACATGTAGTGCACACCAAGTGCACTTTGTGTAACTTTGTGCAACCTTTAGTGTGAACGCAACTGTAGTCCAAATGAACCACTTTTCGAAGTGTTAAATGTACCGTACATTTAAATGATATTTTCCAAGTTTTCCTTTTATCGATTTTTCCACTTCGATGTTTCGTAAATTCCTCGTTTACGGAAAGTATTTTAAAGCGGAGCATGCGCATAGCAATTATTGTAGACTAGTTCTAATGTTTAAGGCTATAAATGAAATTCATTTACTTCAATTTAATACGCCAAAAATAGGTCTGACGACCTCTCTCCAATAAAGTAATATTGCATTATCTTCTACTGAAACTTAACTTCTCTCCTGGACAATTTATATGTATAGTACTTGGTACATATTTATATATGCACAAAAGATACTATTGTATGGTCACAGCGGTTTTTGTACGGGAGGCGAAAAAAGGGGAAAAAAATCGCAATTTCCCACGCAGTGATCTCCCCTTACAGGATTACTGGCCGTAGCGTAATTTCGTTGATCTCGAGTTATCGCCCCTTAACAATTCACAATCGCTGGACATTGTTTAAATTGTTTAATATAGAATTTGAGATGATCAAACATAATCAACTAAACATCAGAGATCGAGCTTTATTTAGCATAAGTTATCACTCAATGAAAGACCATTTAAATTGAATGAAATAATGCAAAATGGAATCAATCATATAATGCAAGTTTAAATATCATAATACAAGGTAGAATCAAGCATAATGCAAGTTCAAAGGTTATCAAACAAAACAGAATAAATGCATTAATTCTGCTCTACACTCTGAAGAATCACAAATGAATTGTCATTTTGCAGAAACACCTTTTTTGGCATCTGCAAGGGACACATTTCGCTCCGCGAGCTTCATACTCTGAAGAATCACAAATAAATTTTCATTTTGCAGAAACACCGTTTTGGGCGACGGCCCGGGACACATTTTCCTCCACGAGCTTCACATAAACCTTTTTCGAATTTGCTTGATCCAACCCTAATGACGTCATGGCATTTGCCTCTTTTGTTATTATAACTGCAGTAACGAGCATTTCCTTCTGAAAACATCAGCATCAGGAACATTGCTAACATAGATATAAATTTGATAATTCCAAACAGCTTCATTTATTTTCTCTGGTTTGAGACGCAAACTGTAAAGTATATCCGCTTTGCTTGTTTTCAAGATCTGAAAAAAGAAGAGCACAAAACAATTGAAATTTTGAACTTTTACCATTTACAAAACAAACAACAGTTTTATACCTATAATTGATATTATCTATATATTTTACCTGCTAGCATTTAACTATTTAAATGTAATTTTTTGTTAAATTTTGAGCGTACTTCCACGATTCTTTTTCCTCTGTAGAAAATTTTATTACTTATTATTCCGTGATTATAACGACTTTGCCGATTAATCTTGAATTAAATGAATTCCTTGCGTTATTTCTCCTGACTACTTTTCCACTCACATGCTATAATGAATGAAAATGTTGACGGCAACGAAATACATTGACACATGCATGTCTTTTGATTTTAGACCGGAAGTGGTTTTATATAATTTTTACTGTTCGCCAATGTTTGTCTGCCAATAAAATCGTTATATTTTGTATAAAGAATTCGTTCCTCAAAAGTTAATTTCTTAAAACTCTGTATATAACCCATACAAATCGTTCTTTTGAATTATGAAAATTTTGTGATCATTCATAAACCATGAATATTTATTATGCATAATTATGTCATGAATATTCAAGATTAAACGCATATATTACCTTATTATGATATTCATCTGGAAGTATCTTGTGTTTTTAAAATCTACAACACTTTTTCGTATATTTATACTATCAAAGGGGGAATTCCAATCAGTTTGCCATTTATTTTAAGGATATATTCTGCGAATCGTGTTGTAATTATTCGAAGTCAGGGAGATAATTAGGTTATAAGTGGTAGTTAAGTGCCAGTTTCATTACATAGTTAATTCCTGAACATGAATATTTCCTTGTAACACTTATACAATTTAAGTAATTTACTAATTAAAAGAATAAGACATTATATTTGAGGAACATGTGTTGAGTTTATATCGCAAGTAGTATATGATTAATTATCTGTGAGTCACTTATATATGTCTCAGAGACTTTTTGTTTTTATTTTGTTCTTTTTTCAAGAATTGTCCGTTTTACACACATACGCGTTTTGTATTACATAATACATTTATATCTGTGTAATGTTATCATTGCGTAAAATATTTATCTCTAAATGATAAGCAAACATTTAGTTTATACTCTATACAAGTCTGAAATTGCTAGACTTACTGCCAAAACCTGTTATTTTATTCTACAAGTTTTATACGATTTTCCATATGAATAGTTTTCAGGATCATTTTCATGTTGTAGTAAGTCATTTAGTCTTTGTATATTTTGTATAATAAAGTATAAATATATTTTGTTATATTTACTCGATGTTAGGTGACCAAGTCAGGAGACAGCATTTGTCACAAATGACAAGAGGGATACGCTTCACTCAATGTTGTAATCTGCTAGGAATCCTACTTATATATTGACAGTGTTGGTTGTACTGGTTTATCATAATGCTTTGGACATTTATTGATAATATTCAACACTAAGCTACGTAATGTCGAACCGTGGGTCCGGGGCAGTTAACTCGTATTCGGGGCCAATAACCCTGACCTATTGTGTCATTTTTCTGCACTTTGAAGTTCACTCCTAGTGCACTAGACAATTATGAACTGGACAGTGTTTCAATTTACAATCAACTTTAATTTTAACAACTATCTTCAGTTTATGACTTTCAAAACAAAATAGATACAGTAAAAAAGAAGTAATATTTCAGACTTTTGTTACAATATAATCCTAAAACTGTATAAATTGATTAAAATTACTATTATTATTATTATTGTTATTATTTAGTTTGATTGATTTTATTATCATGCTTTCACTTAAACTTCTTATTTATTATTCAAGCACAGAGTTTTATATGTCATTTTCTGTGTATGGACAGATTTCTCTTTTAAAAAAAGAGACGAAAAAAGCGCGACCTCTTGTACATGTTGCGCGACGGAAAGCTAATTCTACGCGATATTTACTGGCGCGCAACAGTTAGCTCCATACGCGATATTACCTAATTTGAAGTGAGGAATGATCATATCTAAAATATCTGAGCTGAACTGTGAATCCAAACAAAATGAGTAAAAAAAGATAACCATTTAAAAAAATGTTGGCCAAATATTCCATCCTAAAAACAATACTGTTGTAGAGGACTAGTTTCAAATTTTACAATATTGTAGCTATTAAAAATGTTTACTGCTACTATTTTCCGAAAACGCTATTCACAACACATTAATCTATTTATACAGTTTAAAGCATTATATACTGAACGAACCACTGTTCGTAGTGTTAAATGTACATGTAAATGATATTTTCCGAGTTTTCTTTTATACCGACTTGTCCACCTCAATGTTATTTTTTCGTTAAGTAAAGTCGTATTTTGAAGCGGATCATTCGCATAACAATATTTGTAGACTGGTACTAATGATTTTAGGGTGTAAATGAAATTCAATAGCTTCAATTTTCAAAATGTATGCAACCAGCATTCATCCTCAACACTGTGGAGAGGTCTGATTGTAGACTATTTCTAATGTTTAAGGCAATAAATGTGATTTATTTACTTCAATTTGATACGCAAAAAATGGGTCTGACGACCTCTCCAAGAAAGTAATATTGCATTATCTTCTACTGAAACTTAACTTCTTTCCTGGATAATTTATATGTTTAGTGCTTGGCACATATTTATATATATTCACAAAGGATACTGTTGTCTGGTCACCGTAGTTTTTGTACGAGAGGCGAAAAAATTAGAAAAATTCGCAATTTTGCACGCAGTGATCTCTCCTTACAATATTACTGACCGTAGCGTAATTTGAAAGTTTCTTTGATCTCGATAATAGACTTTTCGCCCCTCAACAATTCACAAACGCTGGACATTGTTTAAATTTGTTTAATACGGGGGTGGAACACCATGTGTATCTCGGTAAAAAGTATATGCGTGAATTTCCGCTGCTCCAAACGTGAAGCATAACACCAGATATGACTGTGAAAATAGGTCAATCGCAGGGTAAGTTTTTTAAACAGTTATGTAAAATTCAATCCATTTTTTTCAAAGAAAATCGGAATGTGTTTTTACCCACCTGACTCTCCTCTATATTACCTATCTTTGATTTCTATGCAAAAATATCCCGATGAAGACTGCATAGAAATCAAAAACAAAAATGGGTTGAAACGCACCTACCTACCTACCTACCTACCTATCTATCTGTACACGTACATGTACATTCATTTAAATACTTATACAAGATGTAAATTTTATTAAACGTAGCCTTTGCAGGGTATTATTAAAATAAAATTTAGACAAAAATTAAAAAAATTAAGAAGAGGTAAATTCAAAATCATTATCGATTGTTCATAATTTTTTTATATCGTTAATTCAAAAAGAAAAATTATGTGTTGTTTTCATTAATATTAATCATTTAGTTTTTCTTCCTTTTGGTAAATGCACTGCTGGAGACCAGGTAGATTTTGCATAAGTGTTGTGACTAGTAAGAAAGATAACCCAAGTAGGGTTTAAAGTTCAAGAAAAGAGATAAAACATGACCACTCTGTTTTAGTAGTAATGTAAGTTACTTCAATATTCATTTGTAGTGTCAAGCTTGTGAAATACAGATTAACCATTTTAGTCTTTTTAAAATCACAGGGTCGAACAACGAAAATGGCAACCATCCAGGCTCCGGTGAGTGGTTTAACTCGTATATTCAATTGCCCACAGGGACCAAATTTCTTATTCTCAAATAATATTTTGATAAAATGAACTGTTCCTTTTTCGGTAGCCTATCTTGTCAGACTGAAACAATCTGGATAACTTTGCATTGCAAAGTGCATTAAAAAGGAGTATTATTTTTTTTTAATGTTCGTAGAATCTTTATTGGTTAGACATGTGTGCAAAATATTGAGTTATTCATTTATCGATAAATCGATGTTTTACTTGACATGTTAGATAAACTCAATCAGAGTTCCTCTAAGCTAAAGTTGTCATAAGAAATAAGTAGCTGTGCGCTTAGTATTTAGTTTATAAATTAACGTATTGAGATGGAAAGAAATTATTATGGATTTCTTCAAGAAAGTGAAAGACAAAAATGCTTTTTGTAGAGGTCAACTGCATAGTCATGTTTAGTGAAGTTAAACAGACAGTAATGTGTTGTTTTTTTTTTAATTTGATCAAATTAACAGAAACCACCCACTGTGTTAAAATTTGCTTTTTACTGCTGGTGAATTCCATTGAATTTTTCTCATTTGTAGTTTATCTACAGCAAAACCATATATGATCCGGTAAGTAGATATCTAATCTAACTTTTATCTTTATCTTAACTAGCTATTATCTACATGTATATCTAAACTAGATATTATCTATATTTAAATTAGCTATATACAAATGTATCTAAATTAGCTATTATCAAAAAATTATTACTACCTTATTAATATCTTTTATAAGTTTAATGCATATTGTTATACGGATTCCGGAGCGCGCCCCGATTTGGAGATATGCTAGAGGACTGATAAATAAAAATCCAAGATTTAAATTTTGAAAACATTTATTCTTTATTCTGTGACAGTCAAGATGGAATATATGTTTAATATTACAATACATTATAAATGATTATAATAATTATTTAGTAATTGCAATATTTAAATTAACAAATACATGGGGAATTAAACTATAACTCGCTTTGCATGTGAGAAGATACCGAGATCTTGGTCGATGATAAAAATCCTTAATCAACCGATACTTATAAAATGAACTTTTAAATAGCTTTGAAATGAAACTGATGATTGAATAAAATCAACTATATCAATATAAATTATGTGAAAAATATTACTTATGGAACAATTTATTAATAACTAAAATAATAGTATTTTTTTACAAATTAATTTGTTTTAAGTAAAAAACTTTGATTAAACATTTCTTATAAAGCAAAAACTAAACTTTATACATTATCTTATGACAATTTACTTTACTTCTACAATAAGAAATATTACAAGATCTCAGTTATTTAAGTTATTAAATGATTATTTAATATGCAAAGTATTGAAAAATCTGCAAAATATATATATTAAAACATATTTGAGAGAAACAGCTTAAGATAAGATAAAACATATTTCTTACAGTGAAACATTGAATGAAGAACAGCAGATATATAAAAAATAAATAACTCAACATACCTGATAAATAAAAATCCAAGATTTAAATTTTGAAAACATTAAATCTTTATTCTGTGACAATCAAGATGGAATATGACTTCACATAATTTGTGACAAGTATATATACAAACAAGAAAGTGAAGCAGAATTAATCATAAAGGAAGATATTGACACATCTTAAAAAGGGAAAGGAAATAAAACAATCACATAGACAATAGATATGTGATGGCAGATCTTATAATTATTCCCTAAGGGCTTAAAATCTTGATCATATAAAAATTATTAACACCTAGAACCATTAACATCCCTTTATATTTACCTTTAAGCAGGATATATTAATTTTGCGTTTTAATCTGTAGATTTAATCTTAGTTATAATTTAACCTTGACACATTGAATGTGAAACGTAACAATAGTTGAAATAGAAATAATCGCGTACCCAATTAAATGAATAAGAAAAAAAACTTAAGTAAGAAAAAGAAGTTAATATTTACAAAATAAATTATACATTAAAGTATATGTGCATTAACTGTTTAAGGCTTACAAAACAAAAAATATACCAGACAAATTTAGATTATAACAATATATTTAATGTTAAGCATCCGTCCAAATTAAAAAAAAAACAGATTTAATATGACATTTTAAATTTTGTTTTTGTATGACTATTAGCATATAAATTTCACAATACAGAGGACACCATTTAACTACCAACTTGATTGACTTTATCCAGGGAAAGTATTTTCTATCAGTGGTATTCCATTTAAAGATGCAAAGAGGTAAAACAAAACTTAGTATTATGAATAGTGATTATATATAAATTCTATTGTAAGATTTGACCAAAGTTAAAAAATCTCAACTGCAGTTTTGTGATAAAAATTATCTTACAATGCACAAACCGTCACATATTATGAAATACCATAATAAGTGTATCGTCTTTTTCAATAGCTTTTCTATGAATGTAAAAGGGGAAAACAACACTGCATTCCGCTTTGACGTACGCTTTTTTAGTGAGAACAAAGGTGTGATAGTTAGAAATTCTAAAACATCAGGTGGCGATTGGGGTGACGAGGAAATTAATTTGAATGGACCATATCCTTTCATAAAAGACAAGTTTTTTGAAATGGTCATGCCTGGTGGGCGATTTCTGTTACAAGGGGTACTTACTTCTTTCACTGGAAATCTATGTATTTATTATTTTTATTTTTTTCAATT